ACCTTTCGTACGCAACCGCTATACCCGGCATACTCCTCCTCCCCCTCCTATCTCGGTGGAGGGTCATGAGGAGTTTGAAGTGTCTGCTGTTCTTGACTCTCGTTTCCTTAGGGGTCGACTTCAGTACTTGGTACATTGGAAGGGTTATGGGCCTGAGGAGCACAGTTGGATTTCGGCTGATGCTGTCCATGCTCCCCGTCTTGTGCGCTCTTTCCATTCTCGTTTTCCTGCCAGGCCTGGTCCTACCCGCCCGGGGGGCGTGTCCTCAGGGGGGGGTACTGTAGCGTTACTTACCTTAACCGGGGGCCGGTCGCGGTCCTCTCTTCAAGCCGCGCGCGGTCCTGCGGCTGCACGAGCCGCGCGCGGCTCATCCGACTGCTTCAGATGGAAGGCGGGCAGTGACCGCGTGAAGCGGTCACGTGTCCCGCCTGAAACTAAGAGCGCGCCGCGAGTCTCGGGCGCGCTCTTAAAGAGACAGTGGGAGCCTAATTGCCAAAAGGCTCCCATTGGCTCCTGTCATACCACACTCCCTGTACAATTACCTATAGGGGGTGTGGAAGTGACAGGAGCCAATCACTTTCGTTTAAAAGCTATTTAAACTTACCTTTTTCCCTTAGCTCGTTGCCCTATCGTGGTTTCTGTTTCAGTTCCCTTTAGCGCTTGTGGTGTTCAGTTGTGTTTTCTCGTATTGACTTTGGCTTCGTATTCTGACTTCGTTTTCGCTTTATCCTTATCTGTACTGTTTGCCGGCTTGCTGTTTTCCGTGTACCAGACCCCGGCTTGTCCTAGTTTACGCTGTCTCTCTGTGCCCTTGACCTCGGTTTGTTCCTGGCTCTGTCTCCTCTCATATACGTCGAGTCCGGCCATTCTAAGGTCCGGTAGACGTATCTCTCCTCTGTATTTGCCTCTGTTTAGCTGGATCCTGCGTGTAGGGGTATATTCTCGTTACAGTCATGTCCTCAGTGCTGCTCTATGAGCAACATTGGACAACACCACAGGAGGCCATACCTCCTCCATGATGTCACAGGAGATAGAGACGCAAACAGCACCTAGAGAGTCTTGGCATAGGAAAGGTAGGTAAATCATCTATCTTATTTATTTTTTATCACAAACGGGGGGAGGGTCACCTATATATTACTTGGGACATGAACACTAAAAGGTATACAGGTTTGTATTCCTAATGCTTTAGTGTTCCTTTAAACATTTCTGTGTCCTACTTGTTTTAACGGGAAAAAATAAGTGCTAGTGGAGGTTTCTTCTTTGTGCGATGTGAGTTGTGGGTTAATGACATGCTTCACAATAGGTATTCAGATTAGTTGGATACAAATACTTTGAATGCTGAGTCTTTTTAAAAATCCTTTCTTCATCTCCTAACCTTCATTCCTCTTCAGGACAAATGAGCATTGCTAGTCTGAAAAATTTCACACACATAGTAAATACATCATTTATTTATTTAGGTTAGCATTTTAATGACCGCAAGCTTTGATCATTTTCAGCCTGGATCTTGTCTGGCAGTTTTGAAGATGCACACAATATATTCAAGTTGTTTGTTGCCAGACGCTTTATGGATCTTTTGCGAAGAAGCAATTAATGACTTCTTGCGCCGGGTAAGACAATTTCCTTTACCAGATAACTTACTCTGGCCATAGAATTCACAGCCATAATGTAACTCCAATTAGTATGGTGCATGTTTTCCTCAAGAAAGAAATGGCTTCATTAATAAAGTAATGAGTTCTGCTGGTCTCTGTGAAGTGGCATTTCCACTCGACTGGGCCCTGTTAGGACACAACAAAGATATTTACATGCAAGTATATGTGAAATAGCTCATGGGAAAAAATGAAAAGATATCTACCTCTGAAAGTTACAGGAAGACTTCTCGGCGGCATTACATTTATCATTAAGATTAATGTTTTACAAACACTAATGAAGTGAGTGCATAACATGAAAGTGGATATTCTAACATAGAATGGGGTAATCAGTTCCTTCCACAGATTGGTTGACTGCCAATCACATAAGTCTAACCTTTGATGATATAAATTGTAAACTGATTTGTTGGATTGGAAGGAGAACGTGTGTACTCCATATTCACAAGTTTTTACAATAAAAATTACTGAATTCCGACAAGGCATGTGCATGGGGAAAATTTTCGGTTCGGCATTCCGAAATTCGGGACTTCGGCAATTCGGCACTTCGACACTTCGGAACTTCGGCAACTTCGTAACTTCGGCACTTCAGCACTTTGGCATTAAGGCACTTCGACACTTTGGGAACTTCGGCAACTTCGGCACTTTGGCACTTCGACACTTCGAAACTTCTGAATTTTGGAACGTCGGCATTTTGGAATTTCGGGACTTCTCTTGCAGCCGCTTAGTAGATAACTCCCTAATCCCACGGTATTAGGGAGTTATCTACCAAAAGGCTGAAAGACCAAATTTACTATTACTAAAAATTACAGCCTGTGGCTGCTCACTGTTGAAAAAAAAAAAGGATCCCCCCTCCTGAGCCCCCACCCGCGATGCGTGAGTAGGGGGCTTTTAAACTAAACCTATTGTCCTCCCTCTGGCCCCCACCCCTAAACGGTGGGTGGGGGCCCTTAATTATAATAAGGGGGGGACTTAATGTCCTCCCCCTGGGCCCCCTCCCCGGAGCATTGGGTGGGGGCCCTAAATGAGAATAAGGGGGGGACTTAATATCTTCCCCCTTGGCCCCCACTCCTGAGTGGTGGGGGCCCTAAAGTAAAATGGTTGGGGGGGACCTATTGTCCTCCCCCCGCCCCTCACTCCTGAGCGGTGGGTGGGGGCCCTAAATTAGAATAAGGGTGGGGACTCGGGAGGGACTAACTGTTTAATAGACATGCCCCTTCTTGCGGTATAGCGACTATAGCGGGCATAATTTACTAATACTAAGTAATCTTTAGTTAGTATTAGTAAATTTGGCTTAAAGACCAATTTAGGTCTTTCAGCCTTTTAGTAGATAGCTCCCTAATACCGTGGGAATTAGGGAGTTATCTACTTATTCATTCCTGTCATTACATTGACAGGCTAAGTAACTTACATTTTATATGAATGTGTGTTACTTGATTGTTGTAAGTGTTGCAAATGCTTACAGCTGAATCCTGGCTATGTTTATACTTTTTATTTAAAATTGTATACAGTGTAACATTTTTCAATCTTCCACTGGCTAAGTATATTAGTTCTTAGGCAATACTGTGCTTCG